CCTAACCCAAATGGGGGGCACCCGAAATTCGAATACTTAGCCCAGTTGGGCGATTCAAAGGAGATGGCAACTCACCGAGTGCATCGGTACGTCCAGGTAGGCCCCGCTTAAGTCCAGCGGGGCTAGCCCGTCAAAACGGTGGATGGAGAGAAGAACCCTGAATGGTGTCTCCATGTGGAACCAATCGAAGAGCACGTACTGATTCAGTCTGCCGAGGTCCAAAACTGGACGCCTTGCCACTTGTAGATTTGGTACTACGAACACATTTGGGTAGAAGCCTGGCCTTAGTTCCGGCTGATGTACCCTGTGTATGGTGTCTTTCCCCAGCAAACTGCTACTTCCTGTCTGATTGCTTCCACCTTGCGGGAGTCCCCTGGCAGTGCCCAACAGGGGATACACTGAAGGGGGGAAATGGTGATTTCAGCGGTATCACGTAAACGGATGTCACCACCTGGAAAGGTCCAGGGATCGGTCATCCACCGTCTCCAAACCGGACTACACCGGCGCAATATGTGTACGACAGGGATACTTGGCCATGTGTTCGGCAGTTTGGGGGGGGGGGGGGCTCCCTTCCCCCATGAGGCGAGTTCCCCAAGGCCTGAAGTAGTCACTAAGTTGTGACCTGGCCATTCACTGAACACGTCCCTGTCCCCCCCGGTTGCAGAGGCGAGTGTCAAACATGCCTCCCCTGCTGCCAGGTAGACGCCCGCCCAGGGAGGGTGAGGAGCCACCACCTGGCTCTTACCTCCCTGAGTGCGCGCCACTACCCTGCCCTCACATGGAAGGGTATAAGTGCTTGCCTCCTGGCAGACTCTGGCTAGCGGACGACGCCCTAGGGCGTTGTGTTTTCTGTGCTTGGGGTGCCCTCAGTTTGCCCATGGCAGGACCAACTGGCTAGCGGATTCGATCTGAACCCTCTGGTTCATTGCACTCCGAAGCTTTGAGACTGTACCCACCATTCCGTGAACAAAGAGGGTGGAGGATGTCCAGTCTACGTCACTGAGGTGGGGGACGTACCCCGGCTCAGCTTGTCGGCAAAAACATGTGCGTCTAAGGCCGCGTTCCGTAGCACGGTAGTGGCCCTGGCCAAGAGAGCCAGGCGACACTACGGGGTGTCGCATGCTACATGTGCGGTGACCCACCAGTAAAAATGACGCCTGGTCTAGGAGGCTGGTGCGTTCTGCCTCCAAGGTCTCCAGAGTGCTGGTCACGCATAATAATGTGCTCAAGCAACTCTGCCCTCAGGGCTGGATGGGTCATCTTCAATTGGCAAAGACACCTATGGAACGCGGCTATCCCCCTTTGCCCGGTTTGCCAAATTCGTGGTAGTGGGAAGTGTTGCCTAATGTTATCCCCACCCAGGAGCCTTAAGCATTACATCCTCCGCGGCTGACCAATGCCGCCCATCAACACCGTTTGCGTGTTCTGCGCCCCACTCCGCACTCACGCGGACAGGGAGAGACTTGCCAACGGGGTTGCTTTGGATCCCGACGCCTGTGATCCCATAAGCATTGAAGCAACCTTAGGTGGTCGCTCTAGGATCAAGGGTGGGGGAATATACATCGTATCACTGGGATCGATGATACTCCGCCTCACCCCAAAAGCGTGGCTCACCGAGTCATATAGATGGAAGACTCTGAGGGACCACCCGGAGTACCGGCTGTATCCGACACGAGCAAACTGCATCTCCTTTCACTTTAAATATGTGAGAGGGAGCGTGTTCGACTGTGCGTCTCATGACAGGGTCGGTTCCCTCTGGGGACGCCCGTGGG